ATGGCAATAAATGTTTTACCAGTCGGTAAGATAAAGTAATAGCTAGTACCGCTAGATAGCGACACATTTTATAGTCGGTAATAAATTACAGATTTCCCAAAATATATTTTTTTTGAATGATTAAAAAAATTAATGCAACATCAATTATTTTTTATATGATTAAAATAAATGTATCTTAAAAGTATTATAATATTTGCTTTTTTCTCAAACAAATTTATTATTTTTATTTTTAAACATATTATTTTTTAGATTATTATTTTTTATCACTGCAGCTGCATTCATTCGCATAATGAGTCACATGGAATCCCTACAAAGAAGATACTAATTTATACAAATATATAAATTGTTCTTATCAGTAGTCGATGAACAATAATAAAACTTTGTCAAAGATTTTGTACAATAATAGAGTTTCCTAATGTAATGTATTTGCCATTTGTGATAATTGTAAGATTTAAAAATCAATTAGAATGCTTGAATAGAATGATCTTCATCATGAAGATGTTGAAAGCTAATGGTAGAGATAACAGAAAATTGTGAGTAATGTTAAATATTCGAAATACTAATTGTATTTAAATGAATGTATTATAAGTAAATATACAAGATAGGTGGGGTGGGTCTATATCGATGAGTGTAATCACGATATACGTCATTATGTTTTGAATGACGAAAGCGTTTTCTTTAAAAGTTTTTCGTTGATGGGTGGGAGTTTAGTTGGTTCGTTCATTCGTTCATTCGTTGAAACAAGGAAAGAGAGAGATAGAAGATATAGAGAAGAAGAGAAGGAGTAAAGAGGAACCGAAAGAAGGAGGGAGTTCCAGTCAGTCTGTCCGTGCAAGTCCGTCCGTCGAGCAGACTTCTTTCACTCTTTAGTCCACCTCTTTATAGTTAGAGCAAAACCATCGTCGAGTGGCTCGTGGTGGAAGCCACATGTCGTCGGTGGTGCAGCTGCTACCGGCACCCTGACAATCAATCAATTTACCATTGGTATTAGAGTTCATTGGTATCAGATCGCGATCGTGTCCGATTAACATTTCTTTATTATTATTATTATTAATTATTTTACTTATTTTGTTTTTCTAATTAACCATTAGAATCTCTTTTGTATTTGGGATACGTGTAATAAATGTATGAGAGTGATTAGAAATTGTAAGAAAGGAAACAAAACGAAAAGTGATCATCGAAAGTGAATGGAAATAAGATACTGAAGAATTTTTGTTGTTGTTATTGTTGTTGTTCTTTCATTGTTATCATCGAGATAAATAATTGAAGGGAAAACAAACAAATTTGAAATATGTATTCGAAAATATTTATTATCGGTTTACTCGTCGTTCTCTTTGTTACCATTGGTTCACCACCTAACATCATCGATGCTTTCAACGTCGAGACTAAACATTATGCAATTTATCGCAAAGAGTCCAATTCTATGTTTGGCTTTGCTGTTACATCTTATCGCGACAAATCCGGACGAGGATGGTGAGTTTAAATTGCATTTTTTTTTCTTTTTCTTTACTTTTGTTCTCTCTTTTTTTTTTCAAATTTGCCGCGAAATTTTTCATATTTGCCGCCGCGCGCCTTTTTCCTCATCCTACACTTCTTCTTCTTCTTCTTCTTCTTCTTCTTCTTCTTCATCTTCATCATATCTTCATCCCTTTCCTTCTAATCATATCAATAGAAACGTTTAAACGATTGCTCGATGATTTATTGTAATTGAGGATTGTAACCGGCAAAGATCTATCATATAAATCAGTTTAAATAACGACAGATTGAATTTATTAAGGAATTATTCGTGAAACATGTAATAGTTTTAATACAAATATGTGCACGATGTGTGTTGCAAAACAAACGCATATGCATTTAAAACTTTTCTCTCTCTGGTCTATATATTAAGTTGAATCAACGTTGAGATTCTGAAAAATAAGTTTGATTCATCGTCACTCGAGTGGCGTCAGCATGATTGAATCATTGGTATTTAAACATTCTCAAACCTTGGAAACGTTTGTACAAAAGAAAACACGATAATATTGTATACAATTGTAGCACATTTAATTTATGATCAAAAGAACAAAAAAATATATTGTTTTGTTTGAATTAACAATTTTGTCATGTGTGTGTGTGTTTTTTTTTAAATATTTTCGCGTAATTTTTCGTCACAATCATGGTCGGGGTACCACCACCGAATACTGTGATTTGATTTTTGATTGGTAACGCGAATGGTTCCCAGTTTTGATTTTTTTCACTCGTTTCAAACAACCACCCTCTCTCTCTCTCTCTCTCTCTCTCTCTCTGTTTTCATTTCTATTACTTTGATTTTTCATTTTGAAAATGTCGGGTCCAACAAGTAAGACTCGAATCTCGCGTGACTCACGTTTGCGACGAGCCACGAATAAACGTTTCTACTCCGGTTCTATAATTCTCGTCGTTCTGCTCCCGCGGAGACGATGAATATAAATAATACTGGCGGATCGTTGAAACGCGAACTATAACACTGAACGATTACGTCGATATGGCGCCTAGTGAAACTTATCTATTCTCTGCCAATATCTTCTTTCATCTTTCGATTTATGTATATACTACGTAGGCTTGAAAAGTTGTGAGCTTATACTTTTCTAAAACTTTGAACTAACAAACAAAGTTAGTTTGACTTAAACGTCAATTGTTTCTGTGTTAGGTTTTAGGATTTCAACCCACTTATTGGGGTTACCCCATGAAAAGTTTTTATAAATTATTATATGTTATATAATATATAATATATATATTTATATATTTTTAATAAATATATTGTATACAATATTATTATATATTTTTAAAAATTATATTTAAAATATATATATATTTATAATATAAATTGAACATTTATTTAGAAATTGTGTAAGAAATTTTGAAGAGACTCTCGATACATATTTTATTTCAAGAACTTTAATATCTTTCTTCGTACATGTAAGCTTTTGAATATTTCGGTGATATACAATTATCTTTAATTACTTACACATATATCAAAAGAAATAGACGATGAATCGTGAATGATGTTAAATCACGCAAGAAAGAGAGAGAGAGAGAGAATAATCGTTGTCTCGTATAGACAGGAAATTCGGATTACGTGATATACGAGTTCAAACGATATATGTAACATATATATATATAACTCTCGTGGCCACACACTTGTATTTAGGCCAATTTCTCGTAAAAGCTTTAGCAACGTTTTATCTTCGTTAATCTGCAGTTAGAATGAGATACTCTGTATATGACCTACCTACCCCCCTGAAATAGAATTTAATTGCATGATATTTATAATCGAAAAGCGCCTTCCTCACGAGATCCCGTCGAGTTATATCGTCGTAACGCTTTATGGTAACGGAAATACGAAATTCAATCCTCCTCGAAACACGCTTTTTCTTTTTTTCACATTTTTTTTTTTTTCATAACTTATATGCATGCTTAAACACAAATACACATAGTAGGATACGTGTGTATCTACCTAAGTAAGTGCTTACCTATGTGGCTGAATCGTGTAATCGTATCCGCGATTTTCTTTTAACGAGATCATCACCGACCGGTCACAAGAATAACGTTCAACGATGAGAGAGAGAGAGAGAGAGAGAAAGAGAGAGGGCCACTCTGATACAGGATGTTAGGTCATCATCGCTGGTACGATGATCACGTGGGTGGTTCATCGTTCTCGCATGTGTCGTTCAATTCTTAATACCTTCGTGTAATCTTTCCTGTTCGATCTGTTATTCTTACCTTTCCATTTCGAATGTGTAGGATACTTCAAACGAAGAAAGAAAGAAAGAAAGCAAGCAAGTGAAAAGAAGATACACGTGTGCTACTATTCTTCTTTCAATAATCTGACCCTACCCTTCTTATTTTTCTTAGTGACATACTTCTATTCTAAATTTCGAAGAAGTTTCAGTGGAATTGAATGATACGACCACCTCCTGTAGCTGGTCTTTCACATGCATATGTTTGCGGATACGATCTAATCTTTGGGGTACTAGCTAAGTCTTATACTACTACTCAAGCTTCTAACCTCTGATCTTTTTCTAAAGATATTATAATCATGTATTTATAAATTTATATATTTATACATATTGATGTACATATATGTATGTCTCACTTTGAAAACGTTTGACTTGTCGAGTATTATCGAATAGAAATGAAACATTTGAGATTATT